TCAAAACACAATTTATTGATCGAGCTTTTATAAATGATGTCGTTACAAATTGAATATAAATGTATATTTGATCTAGTTTCTAATATTCCTTACATTCCTGGTAAGTCATGTTTCTGAATGGCATCTCACACGGTCCCACCGTGGATCTTTCGCGCCACGATGTTGTACGCCTGTGGCCACTGTCGAACCTTTTGCTAAAAGAATTTACTTTAATGGGTTCTTTGAACAAGTTCCTGCATCATCAAACTTCACGTTGTGATTTAGCGCATGCTTCACGATTGAAATACTTTTTATTAAATATACTCTAACTAAATATTTCGAGTACTTTTATATGATGGCAATTATATTAGAGATGTCCACAATAATTTCGTAAAGAACAGCTCTACATATCTCAGTAAAGAGTAAAGTGGCTAGGATACTACTACAGTGCAGCTGAGTCACTTGGTTGCTAGTGTGGAATCTCCGCTGTGGAGCTAGAAATAAACTAGAGCAGATATAGCAGTAGAGAAGTTAGGAGTACAGTTCAGTAGAGTCAGTTTCAGATAGAGCAGAGTAGAGTGGAGCTACAGTTCAGTTGACAGTTAGAGCAGTTATAGTAGAGTCAAGTTTCAGTTCAGTAGAGTTGTTGTTGTTGCTGCGTGCACCTGACCTTGAGACTCAGGGCTATGGCCTGGGCCTAGTTATGTAGACTTTAAAATTGTTTAAATTATGGCCTTTTGATTCAAGGCCATCGGGCCTTGAGCTCAAGGCCATGGCCATTGTAACTCAAGGCATTACTTTTTACAATTTTAATAAGTCTACATAACTAGGCCAAGGCCATAGCCTTGATCAAGGCCATTGTCTTGAGCCATTTTCAAAATGTTTACATCCTCGATTAATGTCATGGTCACATGCGTCAAGTTGTATTTATATTTCGCCTAGCACATCTCGAAACATATTTACCGTGAGTCATTGACAGATATTGAACCGGGATTTGAAGTACCAGGCCCAGCACGATACGCTCAGCCCCAACTCACCATTGTTAGATGTCAGAACAAATCTATGTGTTACATTTTACTCAACAAGATGTTTACGGAAAATTTTACGAAGTTACCTTAAAGAATCGACACGGACAACCCCGGTAGCTATTCACAAATAGTTACGCCCACCGCCTAAACTTACAAGTTCTGACAAGTTCAGATCTGATGTGTGTGTTACGTTTTACGTTTACAGCCAAAAATGTCCAGCAAAGAAGGTCTTTGCCGAGACATTAGATTTGAATGCGGACATGTTTCATTTATAACTCGAAGAGAAATACTTGTACAGTTCTTTCTCGTGCCACCATTTTATTTATGATGATAAGGAACCGGCGCTATTTTATTATTGTATATACTAACAATTATAATATATTACAGTCGTTCGATGCTAATGCAATCAAAGCAATATCCTTCAAACATGGATTCACACAGTAAAATATGTGCGTACTCGCCCTCTCGGTTTGCTTTCGTCCGCAAACGGATAGATATATGGCCAAATAAATTCGTAAAGAAACCCACATTACTTGGATATGCCTTTGAGAGGTAGCTGATGAACTAACCGCAGCTAGGAAGGATTATATTTGCGAGCATTGTACGCCGAAACGCGACATTTATAATTATCTTTTAATCAATAAAACTGCCTATAGTTTGACAACCCCCTAACTATATTAATAGCCACAGTGCGAGTAATAACACAGTGAGATCCATACCGCAACTGCGGGGCATCTACATCTAAGATTATACTACGTTTTTTAAAACATTTCAAAAGGAAGAGCTTCAGCGCTAAAACAGAAAACGCGTTTAGGGGGCTTCTTTATCCTTCCACAGGCCAAATTAACCACGCATTTTATTGAGTTCACTTCCCTCCGCTAACAAAATAAACAAAAAACTAACCATTAACGACAGAACATGTAATTAAACGTAACGTTGATTACCCCTGTGTTTTTTCTGGTGTTTATTCTCGATCTTCACTCAGTATTTCTTCTGCGTATATTAGGCCTATAACATTGCTAAAGACATTTCCTCGGCACTTGAGTAAACAACATGAACATGTGATATAAATATTTATTATGCACATGATAATAAACTTAACAGGAACATTTCAGATTGATGATGCTGTCACGTTTCAGAGGTTTTCATCGAATCAAATCGGACTCTGATGCTCAGATACATAATCCTTAATTATAGCAAAGTACCATTTTAATCAAAACATAGTACATGCCCGCCCATGTACATACATATATATATATTCATATTATATACTATGTCATAATTAGGTACACTACATAGGAAGAATATAACACATCAGAGAACACAGCCGCTGTAATCTGTTAATTCTCCAAAACAGATACGAAAGAGAGGCAGATACCATTTAGAATTTCTATTTGACTAAAGCCCGCCGCGCACGCTGTGTTTGTGCTGCCGCACATCGGCCACGCGTGTCGCTGTATGGCAGTCCACAAAACACAGGCTGGTGCGCATGCCCAAACGCATCGATTCTGTGATGTGGAAAAATTCACAGTGTTTTGATATTTTCTTCACGTGTGGCCCAGTTGCACGCGTCGCTGCGCGGATAGATGGCTGTGTCAAGTTCCACCACGGCCCTCTATGTACCGACCAATCAGCAGCAGGTCAAGCGGTAGTCGGGACCTGAGTCGTAAACTTGCAGGTTGCAGCGCGGTACACCCAGTCACATACCTGCACGTTGCGGTACCGCGAGTGCACGCATCGTAGCACGCACTGGCACGCACGTGCACGCACCGTGCACGCGGGTTTACACGCACGTACACGCGTGGTACACGCACGTCACGCAGGTACACGCACGTACACGCGGGTACACGAACGTACACGCAGATTACACGCACGTCACACACAGATACACGCACGATACACGCGGACGTACACGCACGTGCCGCGGGTACACGCACGTACACGCGGGTACACGGAGATACACGCGGGTACACGCACGTACACGCGGGTACACGCACGTACACGCAGATACACGCACGTAAACGCGGGTACACGCACGTACACACTTGCATCACAATCTCAGGGACTAATAAGGTTCTTACAAAACCATAAGACTCGGCATTTAAAATCAAAGTGGCATCTCTAAATGGAGCTTGGACCCCCCCCCAATGATAGCATCCCTCCCAAAATCAGTCAAAATGCCTGTAACTTTTGATAGGGTGGAATTTTTCAATTCTGTAAACTGTGTAATGTTTTCTATGCCCTGAGCCACCTGTAGGCACTTGGAACACTTCAATAATAAAATTAATGGTAAATAAACACGATTTTTACTCAAAAACGCACAATTAAAAAAATGCGTTTCAGATATATGTGGTTACATTTCATAATTGAAATACTTTCAAAATATGAATGCTTGAGTATAGTATGTAAAGGGCTAATACCAATGTGTTGTGCTGCCATGTATTCTGCAGCTGCAATTCTTTGGCCAGCATCTGTTTTGTTTTCTGGTGGTGGCAGTAGTTCGGCGTTGGCTGTCAAAATATTGCCAGCCAGAAAAAGGCCTCTGTTGGCACGTCTGAGGGTACTCTCAGCTGGTAGGAACCTATTTAAAAGTTTATGAAACTATATGAGTAAATGGTAAAAATTTTATTTAGTACAGCATCGATACGTGTATCGAAAAGATTTGTATTGCGATATGTTGATAAATCGTCCTACCTTTAACATTGACTGATGGTGACTCACCTCCTATTATCGGCATGAATTACTTTCCTGAGACCAGGAAAGTAATTTCCATCAATGTTGCATTTCATGCAGCTGCTGTAGCTGGCTGCTCCTGTCAGCTGCATCGCTAGAGAATGGCCTTCATAGTCGGCTCCAGTGAAGAGCAGCTTGACGTTAACGAGGTGGTGGTGTCCATTTGCGTCCGTAATGTCTATGTCGTGTACAAGCTCGTCTATTAACGGTTGAAGATACGTTGAAAGGTTTTGTTGTCTTTTTGGGCCGGGAATTATGCCGTAAAGGAACTTGTTTTCAAATTTGTTTCTAATTGGGGCTGGAAGGTTTAAGAATTTAATAGTGATTGGCCAGATAGAGTAATTTTTTGTTCTTTCAAAAGGGGAGAAGCCATCAAATTCAATACTAATTATAATGTTGTATGGGTCATTAAATAAATTTTGCCATGTGTGTTTGATGAATGTCATATATTCTTGTAACTGGAATGTAGTGTGTGTGTCTGTAAGTCATAAGTGAGTCAAAGTTGAAGTATTTGAATTGTGATTTTATAAATTTTGTCAGATGTGAATGTGTAAATATTTTTCGTGGCTGTCCATTGTGTGTGTATCGTGCAGCAGTGCATTGTGGGCAAGTGTCAAGATGTTCATATTGATGCGTGAATAGTATACAGTCGTTGATGCATGCATGTATGTCTGTCATGTTTCCAGCAATGTTGTTTATCATGTGTTTCAGTTGTTTGAATGTGTGTGGTAGTAAATTTGGTTGGGGCAGAATGGCTTTTATGATGCGGAGAAGTTGTTCCATTGACTTTTTCGCGATTTTTCCGGATGTTATATAAAACACTGCAAGCAGAGCAATTGTTTGAAGAACAGTTACTACAGCTGCAGGGTATAAGGGTCTGTTGTAATTTCCATCGTAGTCATCGTCTCCGTCATCGACTCCGTCTCCGTCATCGTCTCCGTCATCGTTTGCGTCATCTCCAAAGTTGACGTCGTCAAGTCTGTCATCGCCAATGTTGCCGTCGTCAAGTCTGTCATCGTCGCCACCACCTCCTATTGCTGCATCCTCTTCAAAAAATTGTGGGGTGAATGCCCCGTTGTGGACTCTGTGCCTGAAAATAATTGTTATGTGAAGTGTCATTGCTCATTCGTTACTGTCATATGTACATTAATTTCATATACAAACGGTGTTCCAATGCGTACCTGTATCTTTGTCGTGTGCTGAGGTACTTGTCACCTCTGCATTTGCTGCACAGGCACCTTTTAATTGTAGACATCTCTGTAAATGTAAAATGTTTCAGTTTTTACTGTTATATGATTAAAGGCATACTACACAAAATAAATACATACAACACGCGAATAATTCATACCGAATCATTCATAATTCACCGACCGCGAAATTAACCACTCGCGAAATTGTCCGTCAAGGCATGATAATTGGTCCATGAAATTGCAAGGCATGATATAACGTTTTGTTTACATGTGAAAGTC